CAAAAAGGACAGGCCCGGAAGTCTTTTAAGCAATTGCCCTACATTACATGAAAGTGACACAAGGTCCACTGTGATCCATTGTTCCCAACGGAGATGGAGGGCTTTGATGGCCATAAAACATATTCTCTGGGACCTCAGGGAAAGGCGGGCAAGAGTGATTTGGAAGAGCGCCCCACCGTGCCACATGTGAACATGGGAAAATGTTTCCACACAGGACAGAACAGAGGGGGATTCTCCAAGTCCCACCCTTCCCAAGACACAGACTGTGCCCCAGGAGTGATGGGAGATACCACGGCAATACAGGGGACCCGGGACTTGCCAATGCCAGCATCTACCTACTCTTTGTCTAGGGCAGTGAAGCAGGACAGAGAGGGTCCACCGCATTGACCCCTGGCTCCCACCCCTTTCACCTCCAGCTCCTCCTTCTGCCTCCGAAGTTTCACTAGCCAATCTGGCTCCAGGTCCTTGTTTCCACGGCGTCTTTCTAAAATCAGGGGATCTGACAGCTTCAATTTCTCTGCTAGCTGTGCCAGGTTTCCAGACAGGTCAGGAGCAGAAAGTAAGAGAGGGGAAAGAAGAGAGAGCAATAAGAGAAATGGAAAGACAATAGGGGAAAGAGGCAATCAGGGAACAGGGAAAAAGAGACTTTACTGACTTGTCAATTAGGTTATAAAGAATAATCGAGAAATGGCAAATACAGCAGCTATCCCCCAAAATTGCAACATAAACAAACAATTAACCCATCTTGGTGTTGGATACTAAATAAAATATGAGCAGAAACAGTTACTCAGCTTTATTTCCCTGCAAAGCTCTCTGCTCTGTAACAGTGCTTCTCAAACTTCAGTGTATGTAGGAATCACCTGGGACCTTGTTAAGATGCTAATTCTGATCCCAAAGGTCTGGGTGGAGCCTGAGATTCTGCATTTCTAATGAGCTATCAGGTGGTGCTGGTGCTACTTTATGTTTTGAGGCTTTATTCCATTATTAAGTCCCCAAAATTTCCTAATCATCTATTTTGGGTCCCTGAACTCGTCACAACCATCAACCTGTTGGCAGAAATGTCAGAATACGGGTGCTCAGCACTACAAATTTTATTGGTTACAAAATTAGGCTTTATTCCATTATTAAGTCCCCAAAATTTCCTAATCATCTATTTTGGGTCCCTGAACTCGTCACAACCATCAGCCTGTTGGCAGAAATGTCAGAATACGGGTGCTCAGCACTACAAATTTTATTGGTTACAAAATCCAGTACTCTGGGGACTCATTTAAAGGATAACAAAAATTTAAGGGTAGGCTGCCATTTTACTCCTCAGCTAATGAATTTTTCTTCAATTAATTGGAACAACTATTTGCCTTAGTACTGTTTTCTTCCCCAGGAACTAAAGGTAGATATGTTTTTGTTTTCTTTTTTAAATGTATCCCACATGTGATAAAATATTCCATGCATTTAAAAGCATTTTAATAAGGATCATTTCCTGCTTTATATTTTAATCACTAAAATATATTTTCTAAGCCCGGTTGTTATAATTAGAATGGTTCACCATAGCATGCAGTTTTACCGTACCAGAAAAGCAGATGCAAGAATGAATTTCTCAAGTAGCACACACATGGTTTCCAGTCCCCCAATCCCACCGACCCCGCCCAGAGCATCCTTCTTTGTGCAGTGCCAGGCCTCCGCTTATCACATCTGGGCATGCAAACACGGTCAAAGACAGCCGTGGGCTCCAATTTTACAGCATGTTCAAAGAAGATGAAATGTGGAGTCTAAGCTGCTCCACAATGGCTTTCTCTGAACACTGAAGATAAAACACCTGCAGAGAACCCTTTGAGAGGCTCACCTTGATGAGTTCTGCTAATAGCACAGGGTGACTGCTCTCTCCCTGGCTCAAGACAGCAGCAGCAATGGCTTCGCAGTAGTGCAAAGCCTGGGACACCAGGCCATAATCTGCCAGACGGGAAGCATAAAGGAGCTTATACACCTGCGAAAAGGAACAGGGCCAGTGACTAGTCCACCCAGGCAGGGATAGAAAGACGGAGAAATGTAGATAAGACTTCTTGGAAGTCAGGTGACTGCCAGCTTCCGCTAACTCTGGCATCCAAATATGAAGAGCCTCTTGCCATTTGGGGCATTTTATCTGCGTATGGGCACAATTCCAAATCCAGCCTGCAGTTCCTGCCTTACAGAGGAAAGCATGGGAGTCACATCAGCTCAATCTTTCTGCGCCCTGGTCACCACAAAAATGCACTGGAAATGGGCTTCTTATCAGGCAGCCCTCATCTCTGGAGAGTCTGATGGTATGGGGCACAGGACCAGGCACCAGGGGACATACAAAAGAGGCAAAAATAGACCCTAGTGCAAGGGGCATAAAGTCCAATGGAGAGTGCAGAAAAATACAGGTAAGCTTTCATGGAAGCATGAGTGACAGAGCACTATCAAGCAGGAGGGCTTTGGTGTCAGACTGACCCAAGTTCAAATCCAAGCTCCATGCTAGGTGTGGAACATTGGGTCAGTTATCTCACCTCTCTGTGCCTCAGTTTCCTCACTACAATAATAATACCACCTACCCCCCTACCC